TCCCACTGTCACACGTCTCTCGCCGAGTCGCCGATCTGTTTTTTTTTCTTCTTTCATTTTTTGTTTCTTTATCTATTCGGTGCATCAGCAACGGGAACATCTCAATTTTCAGCGAACATTCGTGTCTATCTACAGTGAGGAACGAAAGTATTCAAACGGTCAGTTTCTACAGGGTGTTCACTTTAGCGGTATCCATGATTTTTCAGCCGTTTGCGACGATACAAGAAAAAAGGAAGTTATTAACCAGAAACAGAATTGGGCAAAATGTAATCTGATTACAAAATCGAAATCACAGTTACAAATTACAAGACAATTACACTCTAATTAACTATACTAAATTTACAATAAAAATTACAATGTAATTGTACAAATTGTAATGTAATTGCAATGTAGGTTTTGTAACTAGAGCACATTTTGCCCAATGAATTGTGGATTGAACGACGAAAATTTTAAGTTTTCAACAGGTGCCACGCCCCCCTCTCCAAGTGGTGGGGATAATGCCTGGACAATAATCGTGTAGAACAAGCCAGGCGATAATGGGGAGGAGTCTGTGTGTATATGCTCTTAGATTTTCACGGCGAACATTTCACTATCTTATAGTTCGAATACTTTCTTGCTCACTGTAAATTGTTGATTCGTGTAATCTGAGTGTTTAGGAATTACGAAACGCGTTCGGGAAATAAGAGCTGGGTGACCATTGAAGGAAACACGCACTACCGGCCAAAAGAATGGGACCAGGTCTTATAATTAAATAATGAGAAAAATATGTTACAAGGATTTGATAAAAAATATTGTGCTAAAATCGAGTGGAAATTATTTGAATATGTACTAATTCCATAACTTTTATTGCATTGTAACAGCATAATGAATTACTGTTCCATCAACCATGAATTCTGGTCCCATATTTTTGGCGGTAGTGTAAGTACATTAAAGCAAAAATGACGAAAACAAAGAATGTCTACATATAGACAGTATTTTACTATACGTGTATAGTATTGTTTTGTAATATTTTTCTACACGCTTGTAGGAAAGAACACCAAATTTCGTGCTGTTTGGAGATAACGTTATAAATACATTTTAATTTAGGTTTTAGTAAAACTTCGTGCAATATGCATCTATGTTGATATGAGTATAAGATTAACAGTTCAAACGTGATAAATAAAAAAGTTTCGTTTTAAAACTAAACACATCACTTTATTTCTACAACTAGAATACGAATATGACTACTTTCTTTATAATTTCCGTCGGTATAAATTTCAGTTTTATTGTAAATAAAAAATATTTTCGGCAAAATAGATGTTACCGTTTGTTTGTTAAATAAAACTATAGTGTTCTTTAAAAAATTTCCATTAGAATGAATCGTGAGAAATCCAACGACTATAATATAGGTTACAAAAAAACACAAAAAAATGTAAAAAAAAGTTAACAGAATTTCTTATAATCCGATATCAGTTCGATCGAGTTTAATTCAAGAAGGATCAATGCACAATTATCTAAATAGAACACAGGGGTTACAATTGGTGGTTAAAAATTGTTTCATGGAAAACACTTTTAATCATATAAGTTTTTCCCACAGATACCATATCTCAATGTAATCCTATACTTTCAAAGTGTATACTCATTTGTGACTCCCACTGTATATGTGTATTGATACCACATTTACTAGATTGCATGCTGTAATAGCAAATACAAAAAGTACAGTAATCAAAATTTGTATTTAAACTCATGTTTGCTGCAGCAATTTTCTACGTTCATTCTCGTTGTTATAAATAAAGTAGATATTTCGTTATTTTTACGTATGCATTTATTATTGTCTTGATTTCATATAATGCATAACTTTACGATAAATTGTTTGTCGTTGCAAAATCATTTTAGCATGTTCTTCTTTTGAACATTCTTATGGCCGGCACTGTTTGTACAATTGAGGGGCTCACGAAAAACGACTCTTGTCAAATGTTTCGGTTTTTCTGATAACGACAGATTGTAGTAGTCAGAAGTTAGACTCGCAACACGAAGAACCTATGCCCTAATTTATTCTGAATAAAAAATCGATTGATTTTCAAGATCCGCAAACTTCTCAGAGTATTTTTGTACTCTCCGGGAAAGTAACAAAAATTTACGAAACTCGATTTTCTTGTGAGCCCTTCAATTGCATTCGACCACGTAGCATTATTCAATTCTCTAAAATTTTTGCAAGGTTCTATACGCTTATATGTTAATTTATCTATAAAATATTATATATTACTCTAAAAAAAATGTATTAATCAGAGTGCTACTTGTTTGCTAAGACCTTTGATACAAATTCTAATCAGTTATAATCACATGAAAAGAGGCGGCCATACTATAAACAAAACACTGTATGGAATTATGGAAATAATTGTAATTAATTTCATAAAGTAAAAGAATAAAAATTATGTCATTTCTCGAACTTTCATTTTCTTACATTACTGTCTAAACTTGTAAATTTGCGTAAACATTCGGTAGTCGGTCTCATATCAACATGGTTCTGTGCAACACGAAGTTTTATTGGAACCAAATGAACATGTTCAAGCTTGATACGCCAAGCGTGGAAGCAACATGGCTCGATATCATAAAACTGCTCGTTCAAGGTGCAAAAAGCAATATCCATTTAGTGTACATAACAGAAATTTTATGCTTGTGGTGAATGGGAACATTTATATTGTAACTAACGAAATCCTGGAATACTGGGCACACTTATTGCAATTAACTTGACGCCTTTAATATCGTGGAACACAGTTGGAGCACGTTATTATCGTAGCGAGGTTTTAAAGAAAAACATTCGCTGTCACATATATGTATACTTTTTTTTTTTTATGCTTAACGATGCTATCAAATGCTTCATACGTATTTATTTATCTTTCTGAATCTCACCCTCTTCCCTTTTCTTCTCCTTCTACGATATATTTACAATAAATATTTACGTATACTGGATAATGTTACAGAACCATAAATCAATGTTTAACTGGTAAAAGAAATCGATACGTAATAGAAGATCTTTTCGATAAATCTACGTACCTGATGCAATTATTTTGCAAAACGCTCAGTTCTCTGTTTTATAACATGTATAATTTCAATTGACAGTAAGTGGTGCGCTATTTCTGAAACGATAACGAAAAATAACGTCCAGGTGGCTATTAAACGTGTCACAAAGTCAATCGTCAAGGACTAAACCTTGGAATACCGTGTAAAATGAATATTGTATTAAGTGGTACTTCGAACTACAGTACAATATTTATCTAAACCAATTTTCGGTGAAATTGTTCCTTACAGAGTAATGGAGGTGGTTCCTATCACGTGCCCTGTCATATATGCATATAAAAACGCAAATGGACCAATGTGTGGGATATTTATTTCTTTCATATATTGTAAATGCTTTAAAATAATGAACTGAGTATTTGAAAAAATCATTAGTATCCACAAATATACATAATAGGTATGATTTATAACGCAAAGACAGAATATTAATACTTTCAAAACGAGTTTAACGCGTGTTCATTGTACTTAATTATGCAACAAAAAATTCAGTTTTTTAAAGAAAAGAAACGTCTGGTCTTCGAATTTATATTTGTTGAGACATTTTTTTTTTTTTTTTTTTCATGTTTGACATTTTTACTTGTTCCATTCGTCAGTTAAATTTTGATTTATGGTTACGCTCCGCACAGACTTTGTTTCGAAACCAGAGATTACTGATAAATATTTTACTGAGAATATTCACATACTATCGGCTAAGAACTCACGATCGCCGTAAACTTTCTCACTACAGTGTCACGTGGTTCTGAAGCCGTTAAAGTTTCACTCATGTGCAAATGAACCGGTGATGGAGTTTTCTACCGTACCAGCAACGTGGTTTTTGTGAAAATCCTCGGAAAAATCTTATTAGAAATATCGAAAAATCATAATTATCGCTTCATAGGAAGTAGTGTACAATCACAGATGAAAGCTAAAACACTTCAAAATCTATAGTACCCTAAAGAAATAAACAGTAATTGTTCTGTCTTGATTAAAAAATCGATCATTATTCTTTTTTGTTACACAGAGATATTTATTTTTAGTCAGATTCTCACAGTTACTTACGTGCTTGTTTATATAACTATAAGAGAATGAAGAAATTCAGTACTTTTGTTTGTAATTTTTTATGTTACATGAAAATCGTTAGAGTGTCATAATTGTAATGCAAAGAATAAAGAAAACTGCAATAAATACGTTAGCCGTGTACACGGTATAAGAGATTACTGAAAATCATTGACACTGAAGAAAATCTGACTAAAATAAATGCGTGACCAGCTGCACGTCGGCTTTCTACTTTCGTGGAATCTGCATTCGGTCACGGAAGTCTGCTTAGGCTGATCCGCGCATCCTACATACACTACCGGACAGATGTATTCGAATATTATTTAAAACGTACATTAAAATATTAGTAATATTCGTGTCGACTAGAACTCGACATCCAAGTACAAAGGGTTAAACAATCTGTCGCGTAAAAATGTTCGATTATTAATCACGAGCTTCCGGTGAAATCTCCAAAACACCGATCATTCGCAATGAAATATCAATCATGCAAAAAATTACAGTTCAGTTTTGTAAATGTTTACAGGGTGTGAAGGAAACAATAGACTCTACCTAACGCTACATTAACTGTCGAGCTTAAAAATAATTGAACGGCAAATGTTTCTATTAAATTTCCGTCGATCAGAAGTCACCTGTCAAGTCGGAACCGTTATTTTCCTTCACTCCCTGCACGAGTCGACAACTATCATTAAACGGAAGAAAGAGAGAATGAAAAACAAACTATCTAAACACCCATCCGCAAGGAGATCAATGACGATCAAGATTCGGGCTCGCGAAACCGAACTCGGATCTGAACGAAAAACTGACTGAAAAGGAATCGAGATCCTTTAACCGAATGCTCGATTGAAACCTGCAGCAAAATAGTTCCCTGGCTGTGCTTTATGGGCCGGCTGACATACCAAGCGGGAGGAATGAGAATCATTGTGCGTGGAAGACAGGCTAGCAGGTCCGAGGCGCCGATCTTAGTGGTTGCACCCCATTCGACCTTCATGGACGGCGGGATCGTCTACATAACCGGCTTCCCTTCGATCATCGTAAGACGAGAATCGGGGCTGAATCCGTTTATCGGAAGTATGTGCCAAAATTATTGAAAAATTCCACGACTCACCACCTCTGAATTAATCGAGCCACCACTCCTCCCCTCGAGCTAACTAACATCGCCAATTCCGTGAAATGTTTTCTTTTTCTTCAAATGCTACACCACTGGGTAGAAATTGTACAGTAGAACTTCGTTTATTTTGGAACGATATCGAAGTCGATGCCTCTGATTTGGTCAACATGTTTTCGTTGATAGTGAAAGAAATAGATTGACCTACAGTAGATTCATATATAGAAATACGAATTCGTGTGACACGTAGATGAGGTTGTTGTAATTCGTTTATTATAAAAAAAATGTAGAATGAATATTTATTAAAGACATTCTATGTGATAGTTTCGATTGGATTACTTTTGGCTGCTCAAAATGGTGATACGGTACCTATACTAAAATGTCCTGATCAGAATCTGTGAAACCATGTTATTTCTTTTTTTTTTTTTCATGTGGAATCACCACCTTTCTACTCGTGCCGCCAGTCACGGTATACAGGGTGTTCGCGATAATTTGTACCATCGTTTTTTTTCGTAAACGGTAAACATTAGAAAAAAACCGAAGAGGAGGAAGTTGTAGTATATTTTACTAGTAATATGATAGCGTATCTAAAGTTTTTGTATTTTTAATATTTTTCTAGAAACAAAGGCGACTTCATTTTTTTTTAATGGATTGCTACATATTTCTTTACATTATATGAAAGCGGGTATTAAGACGAGTTCAACCATGTAGTATACTATGGTCTTCAGGGTCATACAAGGACAGAAAGAAAAGATATAAATTTAATATTTCGTAATATTGTATTTACTAATAAGACTACATCTTATGTTCAATGTGACTTTAATTAGCAAGAATGCATTACGAAATGTTAAATTTATTTCTTTTATTTCTGTCCCTGTATGACCCTGAAGACCATAGTATACTACATGGTAGTATAATATGGTAGAGAATGTTGAAAGATAAGAAAAAATATTATTGCTACAGCACGGTCTTTTGATTTCCTGAGAAATAAATATTAATCTTAAATCACATAATCTGTGAATTAATAATACTTCTAACGACTGTGATACAAACAATTACAAATTCCTTATAATCACGATTAGGTGTTAGTTTGTCGTTGTTACTTCAAGTTTTCTTTTGTGTTGCAATTTTTCTGCATAACGGCATACATATACTGGATTGTTGATTTAATCTTTTTTTCTCGAAGGAAATAACGAGACATTATTTAATACACAAAGAGTAGGTACTGCGAAAACAAATTAGGATAGAAAAGCAAGGTATACAGGTTATATAATATAATACTCTGTTTTCTTTGATTCGCCAGTTGCATTAAATCGTATTTTTATCGATTTATTTAATATTAACTTAACGATAGTCCTATTCACCACAAATAAAGTAGTTAGACTAAAAGAATTTTACATTTTCCGATTTCGAAGAATTTCAACCGAAAATCGAATGGCAGTTTTAAAATATCAATACACAGAAAAAATAATTTTCATGGGTGATAATTCTTCTGGACACATGTCATAATATTCAATCAGAAAAAAGAGAAGTTCAGAATAGTATTGTACAAACATTAATACGTTATCGTGTTAGGTATACTCATAATTAGATGTAAGATGTGAAAATATCGGAACTGGTATTTTCGTACGAAATAAACGTTTAAGCAACTCGATTGATATTTGAAACTTACTTAATTTTTTGTATATTCACTCACAGAACTTATCAACTATACGCAACCAGTCTATGTTTGGAGGGACGACCCGAATTCACGGCAAAATACGATCAAGGAAATTATCGAAAGAGCTACTTCGAAAGAGGACTGGCCACAGGTATCCTTAATGACAGAATGAAAATGTGTCTTCGTACTGTTACGATCTTCCAATAATTTTTTGTCGTTCATACCATAAGTTATCAAAATGATAAGAAGAATAATTATTGGAATAGCGTAATTAATGTATTATACAGCGTTGTCTCGAAAATGTCGAATTTCTAAATCACCCTCCACCGTTTCTACAAGTCGCTCGAATAACAATCGATCGGAATTTCATAGAGCCAAGACAATATAAAAATCTTCTTATTCTTTTTTTATCGTTGTTTAACGAAACATTTGCTCTTAGTATGGTCATTAATGAATCGATAAATCGTTCCTACAGGTGATGATCTTCCCAGAGGGTACCTGTACAAATCGATCTTGCCTAATTACTTTCAAATCAGGTGCATTTTATCCCGGTGTTCCTGTTCAGCCTGTGTGCATCAGGTATCCTAATAAATTGGACACGGTCACGTGGACTTGGGAAGGTCCTGGAGCGTAAGTATCCACATTTTTCGAAATTGTAATAGATTATTCAATAAAATCATTGAGTCAAATTAACCCTTTAAGGGGGTACACCACCCCGAGACGACTGAAAATAGCTAACATTTGGGAAATTTTCTGGAGATAATTACTTAATGAAAGGCATCAAGTTTACAGAGTATATAAATAAAGCTTTCAGGTTAAAGATATTACAAAATGGCAGTGTTAGTCGCCAATTTCGAAAGTCTTCTTCGGTCATTTCTCTCTTTTTTAACTTCAGAATTATCGTTCATAAATCAAATCGAAGCATTTAATGCAGCTACATCTGTTATGTTTCCGTTCAAGCTACGTAATACAAAAGAAGATCCTGCATGTAATAATGATTAACGAAAACTTACGATTGCAGGCTAAAATTACTATGGCTGACGCTGACCCAACTGAACAGCAGTTGCGAAATCGAGTTCCTTCCTGTTTACAAGCCAAGCGAAGCCGAGAAAACGGATCCTAAGCTTTATGCGAACAACGTGCGACGACTAATGGCAGAGTGAGTTTGTATTTTGTTAAAGGTGCATGAACTATATATTCACCCCTATTCTGACAGATTAGATAAACATAGATAATTTGACTTTCATATTTTTCCGAAACTCTTAGTTTTGCCTTCCTATAATATACCAAGTAGTGATGTATAAAATTCGAGTCTTCGAAATTATAAAGCTTAGCCTAAGGAACATTTAATATTGAAAGGAAGGAATTCCATTGATATTAAAATAAAATAAACAATAAAGTTTTACTTACTTTTCAGAGCGTTGCAGATCCCTGTATCAGACTATACGTACGACGATTGTAGAATCATTAGTAAAGCCCATCAGTTGCACATGCCTCGTGCGTCCATTTTAGTAGAAGCCCATAAGCTTCGTAATAAACTCGGGTATGCTTTTCTATGATTACTCGTAAACATGGTGATTTCTATGAAATAAAAAAAAAACTAATGGAAAACTTGTTGTTCGTTTAGGTTAGTAACATCGAAGACAGAAGAAGAATTACTTCAGAAAAAGACGACGAGATTTAGCGAGGATGTCGACCAGCACGAATTCGCCCAACTTCTCAGAATCGATGAAAACGAACCTGCTGCTCAACAGCTCTTCCGGATACATGACAGAGTCTGTGTTATTTGATTTAGTTGTTCTTAATCATTTTTCTTACAGAGGGTAATTCAATAACTATTGCTAATTTTACACCTTCGAAGCTACGAAAGTTACCAGACTAATCTGTAACAAACATTCATAGAACAAAAGCCATTAGTGTATAGTGAACAAGATGCCTTTGGCAAAGTTTTCATCTGATATGTCAAGATCATACATGTACAATCCTTTTTAGTGGAAGAATTTTTCCATGTATTTCTAATACTTTATATTAACATAAGCAATATAGTACATATTTGGGTCCTTTCACGTCAAATCGATTACTTTTTGCACTCGATGTCAGGGATTTTGTTGAAACTAAAATATAGTGCAGTCCACGTAAGAAATATACGCCGTCAAAGTTTACAATTTTTACCTATTTTCGTGGAATCGAAGCGTATTTACTAAGAATTTTTATTTCAGACACTATTTAGCGTATCGTATTCGTTCTTCTACCCTCTGTATGAAAAAATGAGTAATGATCAATCGACACTTTGACAACTAACACGAAAGTTTTAATTATTCCAGAACGGATTGGGCAAAATAGATTTCGAGGAGTACATATTCACAGTATTAGCCACGTCAAACGCAAATTCTGAATTAGACAAGGTTGAAACAGCGTTCGAAGTAAGTGTGAAACGATTTACTTAACCCTTTGCCATACGATTCTTTTACGACTTCACTTTCAAGAATTACTTTATCGTGAATATATTCCCAGACACAAAAGGAATTCTATTCTTATATCAAATGTTACATTTATTCTAAATCAGAAATATTAATACCATCAAGACAGTATTTCACGTCGACCCAAAGAAAACTAATAATATATATGTATACTAAATTAACTTTGAAATCGTTATCACGTGTCTGACTCGGTGTTGTAAGGCAAGGGGTTAACACGATTGTTCATTACGTTTATGTACTATGAACGGCATAATTGACAGGTCTGCGGCACGAAATCATTATCCTGCATTGATAAGATGGAGTTGAGGAAAGCCTTAAAACTGGCATTAAGCGTGCCACCGGATGAGTCCGATAAAATTTTTCAGCATGCGAAAATTGATCCTGCTGATACCACGGTGAATTTCGGTGAGTTATATTGTTCAGTTATATTGATAATTCCACGGACGAAATACGTAATACTCACCCCGTTCCCTTTCCACTTTGTCGAATAGAATTTGTGTTGGCCGCACTCTCAGCGCGGGCAGAGTACACTCACATATTCACTGGTACCACCGAAACAAAGAAAAAGAGTATTTGAGAATATTTCATCGACTCGTTCCACACTCATCGAAGCAGGACTCACCGTATTTGTAGCAGGCCGCTTCTCAGCCAGATTTGCGCCAGTCCTGTGTGACTGTTCCATTCTTGCTGATATTACTACCCTTTCAACGAATAGATAGCCATTTTTTTTTAGTATTACATCGTTGACGAAGCAAGAAGTCATCTTCGTGAGGATTAAGCGAAACACGGAACGAGAAGATTGCATAGAGTACTAGGGATTGTATTAAATAAACGATATTGTTGTCCGGCGTTCGCGTAGCGCGGATATATTTCTTCGTTTCTAGAAGAGCTTCTTTTGTACGAACAAAGTCAATTTCCAAAGGAGACATTACGGTTCGGAGGAAGTAAGTAAGATACGTATAAATACTGTTTCCTTCGAAACGTCTTTTGTCTTTTTTTCATTATAATATAAGTGTTTTAATTGATTGAAAATTTGAATTTTTGTATAATGCCATTGTTTTCTTTATTTTTTTTTTTTTAATTTTCGATAGGATATGTACACGTAGGTATGGGCACAGAAACACAGGAAAAATAATGTTTGCTTTGTATCGCTTACCATACATATACAGTAAATGTGATAGATTCCTCTTGCGTTTCTGATGACAGTATAAAATGAAATGAATTGCAGTACGTTTTTATACCTTTCAACTATTGCACATTTGATTTAGCGTAGACTGTATTTCTTGTTGTTGCTTGCAGAGAATTTATTGTAAAACATCTTCTCTGTAATGTTTCGCATCTACATTTCAAGTCATGTAAATAGTACTACACCGAAGTTTTCGTAGGCGTAAGCATGCAAACTCCCCCGTGTTAAACTTAAAAGTCACGGTGGACGAATTGTCCATACAAAGGGATTAGTTTTAGATTTATTCTAGATTGCTCAGGGTTCAGAAGAATTTTAAAGGCTATTGAACATCTCGCGCATTGTAAGTGGCATAATTAAACCACCTCGATCACAAACTCCGCCAAGTTTCTAATATGTTTGGGGTAACTAAACATGGTGACTTGGATCTGCATTTAGAATAAATATATTATAAAATTTATTCTTTGCACGATAATAAAACATGCTACAGTGTCACGAAATATGATAAACTATTAATCATTGTATATACGCATATATTAAATACATTATATACATGTATTGTATATCAATATATATGTATATACGACAAATACACAATTGTATATATATTATATAGATACAATAAAATATTCTTACAAGATATGAACTATTCTAAATAAATTTGATTACTTCTTTTCATTTGTTTACAATAAAAGTATTAGTATTAATGTACAGTAAGATTGTTTTAAGTACAAATATACATACGTCGAATATAGTAAATTTATGATATCACATAAAATCACGAACATGAAAAAGCAAGCTACTTTAATCCAAAGATCCGAATGGTATATAAAAAGGAAATTTTCTTTTGAGATGTTAACACTCTGCTATCACAACCGATTCATTAAACAGTTAATGTTATCTATAAAATATTTTTATATGATTTGCAGTACAGTAAATATTAGTTCTTAAACTTTTGAAACTTTATTTTTAAAAGTAGCATTGTGGCAGGATATATTTTCAATTTTTTTCAAGAGCACAATAATGTTATATAATACACGAAATATCTACAGTATATTAATTCATGAGATTTTTGTTTAAATAAATATAGCGTACTTCGTATAATATAAAATAAGAAACTATATTTGACTTAATGCAATTTTTAAAACTATGTAATTATATAAAGCGTTATAATCATTGAAATATTCAGAATTATATTTATTTGTGCATGTGAAAATCAGAATCATTATATTATTTATTGACTTTTATCTTATATCGCGTAAACTCTAATTTCCAATGCAATCGAATTTTGCGATTCTTCAAATTTTTAAATAGTATCTTAAAAGGCACACCATTCTATAGTGATGTTCGTTACCATATAATTGTTAAATAAGCTTCGTTATCAAACTTATATTCTGATTGTAATTAATAATACTTATGTAATATTGTGTTCTGATTCATATAAGTTTTGTGCTTCACCTTGTACCGTAAAATACATAAGTACAAATGTTGTTAGATGCCCAAGAGTATTAAAGAGAAAATTAATAAGACATTTTTATAAACATCAACAGAACACATTAATCTATACATGTAACTGAAAAACAAAATAGTTTGTCTTACTTTTTTCGGAAAATACTTGGCATGCTTGGTGAACTAGTTTTCTGTTGAAAAATCTTGCTCACTCTTTGTCTCATGTCTTCAACACCTTGTCCTACATTTACAGTTGCCATTGATAATGAAAGGCCAGAACTCATCGATAAGGACCTGATAATAGTAAGAAATGTTTATACGATTATCTACAAAATAAAACAGAATTCATTATTTAGTAATAGTATGCTAACCTTTCCATCGGTTTCGAAAGATCCTGACGAGATTCTGCTTCTCTCAAAAGTGATTTAACGGCTTCTTTCTGCTGAGGTAAATGATGGTTTACTAATTGTTCCAAATACTTTAAGCCTGGTAATAAGACATTTGAAACGCATTGATTGCTAAGTGGACAGTAAACCAGAACTGAATATGCTTCGACCAAAGCACTAATGAGATCGATTTTACGACCTTGCTGTAATGCTAACGAAACTATTCCAGTTAATTGTGTAGCTATTACTGTAAAAAAAAAAGTGATAAACTTTAAATCCACACGGAGGCCATTAAAAGTACACAAATCAAGGAATTCTTACCATCTTCTATGTAATTCTGAGGGCAATTGGGAGTAATAAATGCCAATGTGGAAACTAACGGAAGCGCTAAAGTTGAGGGAATACCCTGAGGATCTTTAGCAATGGTTTCTAAAGTTAAACGTGCTTTATCTCTCATCTCTCTCACTTTGCATTCTGTTATCAACCGACCAAGCGAAGGAATTGCAGCAGACATTACAGTTCTAAGAAAAACATTTATCATTATGTTTACCACGGTAATCATAATTATTACGTTAATGTCAACATACGGATTTTATATTTAAGATGTCAAAATCACAGATACAACTATAAAAATGTCAATAAACACGTCTTACAGATCAGGATCACTGACGAGTGTGACGATTGCCGGAACTACCTTTGTACTAGCTAACCGATCAGAAACATGCGCTATCACGGAACCAAACAACGTTGCGGTTGCACATCTTACAACTGGTCTTTGGTGCACTACCCCTATAAAAAAAAGTGGAGGAGATGTAATTTAATCACTAAAGTGTCAATAAACGGCAAGAAAAATTATTATTCCAAATATCGGTGAAACTAACCATCCCATAAACCACTAAGGACATACTCTTGCATGTGCTCGTCCGCACACAACATAATCACTGCGATCTGTAAACTAGTAATACTGGTACCGCTCATAGACAAAGCAACAAGGAACTCTTTCAAGGACTTAGCAACCTCTGTACCGTTTAAAGTAGACAACATAATTAAGTACGTTGGCATTATTGTCAAGCTCATATATTTTTTATCTGCCGCGAATACCGTTAATTGTTGCACAAGTTCAGACACATCGGATGCAAATATTGGCTGAATCTAAAACAGATTATAGAATATTATTTGACCTACTTGTCAGTAAGAATTTAAAATGAATAATATTGAATATAAAAAAACTATTTACTGTTATTGAATACTAAAAATATTAAATATTATTGAATAACTACCCGCGTTTGCGTGATATATCGCCCAAAGCCTAAACACAAAGAATGAATATATGTTAAGAGAGCATGTAACATATTTTCTTGCATAACTTCTATGGATCTGACCATTTCTAAAATTTCCATCACTCTGAAACATATTAAATATCAGTATATAAAAATATCCATCAGAAATTTGATTTTTAAAGGTCGTACAATTTATTTGTAAACCACTCTAATTCTGGCCAAGTATCATTTTCCCATGTGTTTGCAAAAAATGTATTTAAAAGAGCTCCAACATCTATATCTCCGTCATAAAATACTTGTGGATTAATAATATTGGTATGACACAAGTTCAGGAATACATCGGCTGCAAACGAAATATAAAATTCGAAAAAACTTTACAAACGTTTAAAAATATCGTAAATGCATATTTGGCATATCATATTCACGTAAATCAGACGAAGTTCCATGTTCCATATACGTTCTAACTGTATCTGTATCTGCTACACATATAATCATATGCGGCAGTAAATACTGTAAAACGCTAATTGACGACACAGTTCTTCCTTCATCTATGTGATCCTTATTAGGTGAATGTTGAGAATGTCCGGATTTTAAATGATTCTTCACTTTAGATATTATACGTGGTAACAAATGTGTTTGCAATCTCTTCAAGGAAAGCGCCCATTGAGCTAAAATTGGTAAAAGCAAAGAAGAGGCGACTTCTACGACGATGGGCGATGCGTCATTCAGTGCTGTTAACGCCAATTCTTCGCACTACAAGAACAACTATTATAGGTACATAGTATTTCTAAAACTTTATTCAATGCGAAACAATATTGTACGAAGTATTACCTGAAAATACTTATCAGGATCATCCATTAATGCTATGAGTAATGCAAGATTTTTCACTACACAAGCTCTGACCATTGGATCCTTATCATCGAGCAACATTTGTTGTAACATAGAGAGCATTAATGAATTCCTAATACCAACTGACATATATGGAGCCAACACAGAGCAGCATTCAATAGCCAACAATCTTTTCTCGGGATACTTGTACTGACTCTGTTCCCAACATATAGTTAATATTTCTTCACCTTCCATTGGATCGTCTTCGAGTTTTGACATTGCAACTAAACCTAATGGCATAATAAATAACAATTCTAGGATATTACATGCAACAATATTATTAATCATGTATGAGCTAATATTAATTATACCAGCTAATATTAATTGTCTTTCATCTTCTTGAGGTCTCTTCTTTAGATTAAACAATAGCTGTAGTAATTTCTCTCTTTCGGCAGATTCACTATGAAGTCGAATTACGCTTAATATTAATGGTATTACTTCCTCGCGTTTGTTCAGTATGATGTTGGGTACAATACGAGGTAACGTATGTGCCAGGATCTGAACAAGAGTATCACGTGTCACTCCGTTCTTGAAAAGTTCTTCCGCCGTAGAAGTAATAGAACTTGGAATATTGACTAAACAATGGGCTATCACCTCCATTTTGAATTTCAGCGGTAGATGTCTGCAGATAAAATGTTTGAAATTATTTTTACATAGAAAAACCAATTTTACTCAACGTAACTATCCAAAAATAATATACCTAGCTGGAGGGTTCGGAAGGATAGATGATCCTTCTGTAACATCCAATCTAGGGAATTGAATTCTAGTCCATTCTTTATCTCCAGGATCGGTCTCGCCGAGGCTAACAACTACAGATACACTGTCATCTTCCTCTTGTTCCTGTGTTGCTGTCGACGTATCTCGAGGTGGCGTTTCAAGCAATTCAAATTTATCCGGAGTTGTAGAACTCGAATTTAATGTTTGTATCGTTCCGCTACTACCTTGCTACATAAAAAGTATCCCCATTACCAAAAACCAACGCCTAAATATATATGTGTACTGTAAAATATTTTCGTATATATATACCCAGTCTGTACCTTAGTAGGATTCTGAGATAAATTTTCATTTGTGGTTGCAATAATTTGCTGTAAGTCTACCTTTTCCTGTTCTAACAGCACAGTCTGTTGTTTAAGTTCTTCTATCTCTTTCACCTGTAAATAGTATAATTCCCTAATCATTTCTATCTAATAGAGGAAATAAAATACAATATCCACAATGACGTTCACAGACCATTTGTTTAAATTCGTCCTTTTCTGTTTCAGGTTCAATTTCACAGAAGTCTGTTTGCACACCAATACTTGCTGAAGGCGCTTTGTTGTATCCATTGGCTCGCATATATTCTCTATAAATCTGTAATAATTCCGTGGGTTTCGGAATATTTAATCCTACATCCTGCCAATCTTCAAAATCTTGATTTTCATTTTCATCACTAAACGTAATTGATGTTAATTTGTACGAACGTGCTAATAAATATTCATTAACAAGGAAGTTTAAAGCTCTTTGCTCGTGCGGTTTTATGGGTAGGTCATTAACGAAATGTTTATTAGAAGACTTATCAGATGTAGTTCCTTCTGATTCTGAAACATTGCAGACACCAAAATAAGATATAATTTTAAACAAACGTTTAAATGATAAGAAAAAGTTTAAAACCTGTGACTACAGTGAGATTCGCACGAAGAGCAGAAATATTCTCTCTGGCTTTCCTGAGTTCAAATTCTAAAATTGCTACTCTCTCATCAACGCCTGCACCGTCTTCCGAGTATCTTGTCATATCAAGTGAATCTAAAGTGGCCTGACTAGATGACCTAGCTAATGAATTAAAATGTAAATATAATATTTTGGTGGTAAAGGAAACTTCATTAAAATGTTTCAAAAAGAGATTGCTCGAGAAAAAGTTCCTTATTCTAGGTGGAATGATAAATTAATTCCACTTGAAGGAAACAAAAGTTATTAAACAATAATTAAATAATAATATAAACAGTAATATAAGAAATCTAATAATAAAACAATGCTGATTATGTTATTCTTAAAATAAATTTATAACAGAATATCTACAGTTACATATGTTTCAACAGAATACATAAAATCGTATTTAATAAATGTTTTCTTTTTTTATTATTGAAAGGAATTTTATAACATGTAAGTCAATATTGTGATAGGAGTAAAATTACAAAATTTAATAACAATTTACATTTGATTCAATAAAATTTCTACATTTTTTTATTTAACTTAACAATTATAATTCTACATGAATTTTCAAATGAATTAAATAGTTAACTTAAATTAAATTTAATCTTAATAATTAACAAATAAATTATTATACATACGCATAGAAGTGTATGGTTCTGGCTTAATGTTTTGACTTTCAAAATGACTGGGATTGGAAAAAAATTCTTTCAAAACAGATAATTCTTTTCCTGCTTCGCATAATTCTGCATGCATTTCCAAGGCCGTTAATAAAAGCTTTTCATTTAGAAGCTTGGTAGCGATTTCTTCGTAAGATACAGATGTTTTTGAGGCTGGGTATCCTAAAACGATCAAACAAGCATTACCGATTTTCACGAAGGAAATTATTATACTACCGATAATTATTATATGATAATTTGTACATGTCTATTATATAGCTACCGATGACGTGTATACATTTTGGTAGCAAGTATCAATATCAATTCGTATTCATCTAACTAAAGGACTACTGATTTAAAGTTTTTTAATTCCATAATGTATCACAGAAATATTTTTCAAACGAAAAATACTGAATTGTTTTAACGAAAATAAAAAATACAAAATTATTACCTTTACTGTCTGTTGACAGAGGATCCCTAACCTCCTGTACTGCACCAGCCATAACTTTCACTCTGTTCAAACGTTAACAGGGAATGACATGTCATCTAAGCTTATGAATAAAATAGTAACCCACTCAAGCACGTGCCATGCTTTCATTAATTTAATTAAGTATATTAATAGAAATTACTTGGCTCTAAACAACCCAGCACATCGTTTCCGATGACAACAAAGCCATGTTTTACCCTCCGTGATGTTAGCGACTAGCGCCTTTCGACAAGCAACTAAAAATGATCAGCATCGATTTGATTCGATTGTAATATCGTATACTACGCAGAATAATTTTTTTAATCGGTCTCAAATTCATATCTTTTATGTAATCGTACCTAATATTTTCAAAATCGAATAACTTCATAAAGAATAAATAAAAATCTATATAATTCAATAAAACTCCTATTCCCGTTGCATGTTCTTAAAATGCCGTTATATTTAGATAAGTACTCTATCTTTCTTTCTCTCTCTCCCTCTCTGATTTAAGAATTTTTTTATTGTAAATACACATTATATTTTCATACATATTAAATATACATACTTCTTATACGTATATTTAACATGATATACTCTTATGCTTAACATATGAGGTATGAATTTTCAAATTAACACAAGTACTTCAAAAACATAGTTCTTTATCTTTCTCAGTACAAGTTTGAAGCAATTTGAATATCAATAATTTCATAGAAAAATTACAAATAAAATATAATCATAAGGAAATAAACGTGTATAAAATGAATACTTAAGCAGAATAAGTATTACAAATACAAGTGGCTTTGCATTATGTTACACTTAAAAGTCTAAACAATTCTGTAGCTTGGTTGCACATGGAAAACCTAACAAAGAAATAGGGTCTAGAGTGTACCGAACTACGCTTTAATTTATTACAAAGTCACATTTATTAGTCTCAGCTCAGCTATCTCAGCGTCATCAATAATACGAACCTGTTTTTTTCTTCTATGTACAATCTACCTTTCTGCGCGTTTTTTGTTGTCAAATAATAATTGTAATAATTAATAATAGTAGTAATAACACGTGTCTCAAATTTCGTCGTAATATTTTTCACTTTTTTTGCTTTTTTTTGCTTTCGTCTCGTTGATATTTTTATAAGTGTGTTGAAAAATCGGTATAAATGTAACTACTAAAGGAGTAATATTACCGTAGCAATCATCGTAGCTTAGACAAAACTCGGAAGGACTGTAACACCGTTTTACGTTATCCTACAATACTATTGCAACGTTATTAAAGTTGGTTCGTTTAGATACATGGTCTCGAAAAAAAACCATTTTAGTAAAGAAAATTCGCCAAACGATACTCGTCTAAACGACTAATATGAAAATTATTAACATTTGTCTTCCTACAATTCGTTCAAGCACCATTGGCTGGTTTTTTCTTTTTCGTATATGAGCGATTGAACAAATTGGACTCGATTAAGTCTAAAATTATTACTTCGTTCTCGATATCATTGATAGATAACTACTTTGTAATGTCGATATAAACTTCGATCGACGCTAGTATACTAATATTAATTCTTACAACTAGATCACTACCGTCGATATTATCAGCGATAAAGTTTTTCCTAAGTCTTGCCGTGTTTCGTTTTGGTGTTGGTAGCTCCGACACTTGAGTCATACTGATATCCTATTCTTTTTTTTCTTAGATTCCTATTTATTTATTTATTTATTTATTTCCTACGATCACGTTCATATAGTTAACAACTAGAGTTTAATTAGAACAATGATTTCTTTTTCGTTACATACCAATATATTCAATTGTCTCAGCAACCAACAGTAGAGTCAAAAACAGCATAAAATTTATGTAAAGTATTACAGATCTTCCAGAATTTTTCTAAGTTATAATTATTTCATTAATAATTTCTTTTCTCTAACCAGCAACCGCCAATTCGAAATTTGACTCAGGCTGGGGTCGAGAGACGCAAGGCGGTATAGTACTTTTTTTATTTTTTTTCCTTTTGATTGGTATCAATCTAAATCTAGTATTTGGACGAAGTGCGAGGATGGGTCGTGCGTGCTTTTGCTTTCTAAATCGAGCGTGCGAATCTCATAAAATCGTTTTTACTTCATTTAGCCACAGATAGCTTACTTTCGTTATTTCCTTTGCCAGTTATAATTAATCTTTCGATACTTCGCTTGATACGTGTGTAGTAGTCTTTAAAGAGAAAGAGGAAAAACAATGAGTAGAACAAGAACGAAAGATCATAACTGTGTGTATGCGTGTTGTCCTGTGAGTGTACGTGAACGATGATTGGAATTTGTGAAACAGCCCTGAGAAAGAGCGAACGACGCGCGTGGAAATGATATTTAAGTGAATCGAGGCGTACCTCGCCCGTGTGAATCTGAATCTGTATGAGAATGAACGTTTCATCACTGAACATGTGAATTTTGGGAATTACTTATTATTTACTTCTTTTACGTTCACTTTTACCCTCAAGTCTTAAGAGATGTGTGACGCGAATCTGCACACACGTGCCTCAAATTTGTATACAAATGACAACCTTCAACGCTGAATATCGACACTTCTGCAAAAAAAAAAGAAGAAAAAAAGATAAATAGTACATTACATTTCGCATAAAATATACGTTAACTGAATACGTGCAGGTTAATTCAAAAGTAGTATTACAAAATTCACGAACACATGTATTACACGTTAGAACTAAAAACAAAGTCTTAATAAACACAATTTTAAGATTTCACCATTTTAAATCCAGTTGTTTCTTACTTAAAAAAAAAATTATATTGCAATACAGAATCAAAAAGTGCTGTTATTAATTAGTAACTTGACAACATCTGTTACACTGACAGTGTGGCGTTCAGAGTTATCAAGATTCAAAGGTTAAACCATAAGGATCTTAAAACACTCATAAAACATTTTAATAGTTTTATTTATGAATTCTAATCATTATGCAGCACACCAACACGCTTGTGTGCCAACTAATAATACCATTTTAAACACTTATTACAAAGCAATGTAATAATAACTTGCAGTGTCTATGTTTCCGATATACAAAGTTTTCGAACTAACGTTTACTATGACTATGTTCTCAGTTCTACAACGTAAACTAAATCTGAAAATTTAGTAGAACTACTCTTGAATCACCCTATACAGGGTGTAACAAAATAAGTGTTGTAGATCCTTGAAATAAGTCACTCGTGAAGTGATTTCGAACAAGTTTTTCCTTAGCAAAAATGTTATCCGAGGCTTTAGTAACGAGATATTAACGAAAAACTCTGACCAATCAGAGCGCGAGTCTGCCGGCCGACCTCTGATTGGTCGAGGTATTTCGTTAATATTTCGTTAACAAAGCCTCGGATAACATTTCTGCTAACGAAAAACTTTTTCGAAATCACCTCACAAGTGACCCATTTCAGCGACCTACAACACTTTTGTTACGCCATGTATATAAAATTTACACTCACCGTCAGGCAACTCGTATAGTTTTCTAGGAAGAGAGGCAAAATAAGGATGCCTTAAAGCTTCTTCAGCTCCTATCCGTCGATCTGGATTTAGCTGCAGAAGCGATGATGCCATACTATCAGCTTCAGCAATATCATAGAGTCTAGGAAACGAAAGACCCAATTTTTCTGGAGGATAGCATCCCAGTATATGTGGTTTGTATCCTGGCAGGTGTGTGACCCCAGGCCAAGTTTCTTCGGTAGGAGTGCCCAATACTTTGAATATTTTATCAAGTTGGTCGTACGTACAGCGTACACCTGGGAATGTTGGTTCACCAGTCAACATCTCCATAAATATGCAACCTACTCCCCACATGTCAAGCGAGGTAGAATACTCTGTGGACCCCAAAAGAACATCGGGTGGCCTATACCATAGGGTCACAACTTCATGGGAGTATGTGTGCGACGGTACAGATTTAGCCCTTGCAAGACCAAAATCCGCTAGTTTCAATTCCCCTATTTCACTGATCAATAAATTCTGCGGTTTAACATCCCTGTGTAGTACTCTCCTAAATAAAGATACAATGATATTAACAACCATACTGTAGCAATTCAATTGTTTTCAATTTACACGTATGCTTTTACCTCCGATGACAATACGCTAGTCCTCTTAACAATTGAAACAGAAACAGTTTAACGTTTCGTGGATCTAAACCTCCATTACCAGTTCCATGCCTCTCCATATATTGAGATAAGTCAGTATGAACATATTCAAAAACGAACGTAAGAGTCTCACGTGTATGAATAATATCGTGCAAGGTTACAATATTGCTATGCTTCAATTCTTTAAGAAGGCTTGCCTCGCGAATGGCAGTAAATGGAGCACCTTCTTCCTCTTGCAGTCTAATTTCTTTAAGTGCCACCACTTGATTTGTAAGGTGGCTATAGCCTTTGAACACTGTGGCATATGATCCTTCTCCTAATTGTTCCAGTTTTATATAAGCTTCAGATTTACCAAAAGGAGAATCTCCCTGCAAACATGAAGAATATAATTTCAGTCTAAAAACTCTATTAAATTAATAGGTATCAAAAGTTGTTTATGTTCAATTTGAAACTGACAATGTTCTTAACATAACTTGCAAAAACAATATGTTTAAAAGTTAACGAAACAAAGGATTTGAAAAATATAATGGTTTTAAAAATGTAATCTTCGGCTAGTATATTTCTACATATCTTGTAGTTTTAACTTTATTTTTCCAAAACAAGTTATTTTTACAGTCAAAGAAACTGAGAATATAATGTTTGAAAAGAAAAAAAAAACATGCGCAAAATATTACCCCAAATGCTGAAAATCTTTTGGTTCTTCTGGGAGGTGGATCCGGCCCAAGGAAAACCTCCGACTTTGGTCGTGGTGGACGTCGAGGTCGCAAGATAACTCTAGCTTCTTCACGTATATCCTCGTCAAGAAGCTTGGAATCACTAGAAACGGAAAGCTGCCGATGCACTCTCTCATGGTCGCCCACACCTGTCCATTCTATGACATCCAATTTCGTCCTTAAAACTTTCTTTAAAATAACAGCAACAGGAATTCACATAGAATCATAATTCCTCAATAATTTTATCAAAACATAACGCTTTAATTTTATATAGTACACTATCGCTGAATAACAGAGTAGCACATTATGTCAAACAGATTGTGTATATATCTGTCATTAATTAGCACAGCAATCAAATTTGAAGCACAGCTATCATAAAACCAGTGATCGTTCGTTCGTTATCATAAAACCAGTTCGTGTACACTACAACGAATTATTTACTCTGATAAATAGAACTACATTTCGTACTTTATCTCAGAGCAAACTTTACTATCATTTATCAAACAATTGAGAGAATCATTTATCTTGTCGATATATATATTTTCTAATTAATTAATTGTACTCACCGTAACGACGATCCTTATCTGCAGGTATATTACCGTTTGGTTCTAAACGGTCTAGGAACTCCTCGGAATAGCCATTATATGGCAGCTGACCCCGGTTTGTAACATCATCAGCCTCTTCTTTTGATATTGCTAAAGCAAAAAAATAATGATGATAAACTAATATTAGATAACAGAATTCTCATAACTATGTGTTGCGTCATGAACTTCGTAATTTAAGAACAATCTGAAGAATTGAAATATTCTGAGATAGGAACTCTTGGTAACTAAAAGCTCTTCTAAACTTTCTTAATTTCGTTTACTTCTGGAATAAGGGCTCATATTTAAGCTTCTTCTTGATAAAATTTTAAACATTCTGTCTAACATTAATTTCTTTTAACACTTTCATTATTAGTAGATTAGAGAAATCAATATTTCTAGATGAAAAGTGGAAAAGAAATTACAAAAGTAAAAAGAAAAAGTAACATTTTACTGTGTTACTAAGAAAGCTAACGTTCACAATAAAAGCAAAAAAAAGAGGTACATTGAAGCATCATACACTCTCCTTCAGTAAAACTTGCTTCAAGTATATGCTTAGTTTAAGGCTTTTAAATACTTTTTAATATTACACTTTTATAGAATAACTACTATTTACAAGTAGAATTAAATAAATAATGTTGTTATATAATATAACATGGAAATACATCTTTAAATAAGTCTGTGAAACCTTTTTTTAACTGCAGAAAAGCATTAATACTTTTATAATAGATGTTATGTAATGGAAAAATACTATAACTGGATCAAGTAATAGAATTACACTTGAGCATCAAAGTAAAATGAGAAATAAAAAATATAAAGAATAAAATATCCATGAGAATTATACATATGTTCAAAGACAATGAATCTATTTTATGTAAATTTCAAGGGAATATGAGAATGGCTAAACAGAAAAAAATTTATGAAACTTTTAAATATACTTACAAAGTCTCCCAAAACTGTGGCTAAGTCGTTTTTTCAGCTTTTGTACTCTGCTAAGAGCACCTCCCTTCTTCTCTCGCATTGTCACAGACCCTATGCATAATAAGCGCAATCTTTAGCAACTGTAAACCAAAACAAAGACATATAAATTCTGATGTTCGTGTAATTATGACATGTAGCCAGGAAACTCAGAATAATTCAAACATAGTCTATTATACATATGTGTGATGACATCATGTAATGTACACAGTCATTATTCCTTATTCTTATGATTAATTATAACACGAATATACATATATATGATATATCTGTCTTGGTTAAAGTAAATCATATATAACAGTATTATCAATGAATGTTTTTTTTCTAGAAATAAAAGTGTGAAAGTCTCTCTTTTATATATAGATAACGATATTTTTCTTCTCATTCAGGGAAAGCAACATTATACTGTATAACCACACATTTGTTTCAACAATGAGCCAGGGGAACAAAAAAGCACTTAATTGCTTGCATAAATGTAAATGATGTTCTCCCCTACTTTACATATTGTACAAGCATGTATGCTTAATTTCAAAAGGACAATGAACACAGTTGTTCGTATCACTGGTAAACCTGTTTTGGCAATACAACTGCTAATAATTAGTTGAGCAATGTATGACATTGGTTAACAATATGAACTTTAAACGAGATACTGAAAATAATACAAAACTTTGAAAATATTTAAGCGCATTTGAAACACACACATTAGTCGTTTCTAATGGAATCTTTTGGGAACTTCTGGCCTTCGTTCGAATGGCAAGAACTGCACTCATATATTGTGTAAATATGAACTTCATTATCAAAAAGCAATAAGACGTTAAATAGATAATTTGACAAATACCATACACACGTATTATCGTACGTGTACATATATAAACACATGTGGGCTTGTTATAGGTCAATGAACGAACAAAGTTTAATCATATGTGACAAATAACGATAGATAAATTACGTTCAAAATCTCTAGACTGGCTACTGACTCCACAACTCGTTTCACCGTGTTTCTCATGCTTCCCCGTACACAAAAGCACTTTTCTCCATTCACGCATCTGTCGCGTTCTAAGAATGACGTTTTCGCGGCAACGGTACGGAACACTAATTATCTGCACTGAAAGTGACGATGCACAGCCTCGATGCGATCTCACACGTCCAATAAACTTGTCTACGCGGCCGAAGTTCGATAAAAAAGCTTCGCCAAGAATGTACACGATCAGTTTCTCTCTTCGAAATACATACGTACTGCACGCTCCCCACCCCTACCCGTTTGTAAACGACACACTCTCCTTGGCTCCCTCTTTGCCGCACTCTCTTGGGCCCTGTCACTTTGTTTCTCTTCGTTGGACTAACGTCCACCCCCACAATCGTGGAACTTTTGACACAGTCCAACCTACTTGATCTATGTTTCGCACGAGTCCACACGTGCAGCGCAGAGGGACCAAAAATCCACGAACCGATACCCGTAGGAAGGGTAAAAAAAACGGAAAGAGCGGCACGGCGGCGAGGACATAAGGCTGTAAGGCTGCGGAAAAATGGTAAAAGTGGGAGAGGGGAGGGGGGAAGGAGACGAGTGAATTACTTCTGGTAGCTGGAGCTCGTGCGGGCGTCAACTTACCCTCTTTGCTCTTCGAGGCGGTCGAGCCCTTGTCCTGACAGTACATGATTACTCATTCGCTCGCACGCACGAAACACATCACATATGGGCGGTGACGCACGGTGTGTGTGTTGGATGTGTGAGTAATACGAGAAGCTATGTTTCTCGTGATGATTCTCTCGGGCAGGTCAGGTCCGGCAAGCACCACCTTCACCTTTGTCGCATCTCGTACATCGGTGGCACCGTACAGCACCTTCCTGTTGAACTGATCGCCATGAAAAACACACCACCGTCTTCCCCGTACGCCGTTTAAGATCTCGCGCCTTGAACTGTGGCTACGATACGCGCCAGAGAGATTCCCTCCCGGTGAAACCTCGCCGAAAGAGTTTTTACGCTTAGACTCGGTCCCGGAATCGTAAATAACCTTCTCGACCGAGACTATCTATCACGACTTCCTGAATATACGGCGGGTGCTCACGCACGCCACCACTACCTCGAACAACTCATCCGCGAGAATAAACTTCTCCCAAGAATGCCTAAGAAATCCTCTATTCCCACAGTCTTACTGCCTCGCGCCACAGACAAAAGTCTGAAATGGTCTGAAACAGTCTGAAACTGGCCGATTCACATTGGTCTGGGTGTATATACTCCATGAAATGTATGGAAACATGAATACAATTCATTGTATAATGTTGCGCACTTACCTTAACATTTCGTAAACGTAGGCGAAACTATCCGCCCTAATTTAATAACCAATAAGGCCCTATCTTACGAAGAGGTTCTCTGTATTGTTTCAACAGTGACAAATTATTTATAGGAATCCCCTGAATCTATATTATATGTAAATAATTATCAGTTATAACATTTTTAATTAACATATAAGCTTTCTTGTTTTTAGTGAAAAAGTGATTAAAAATAGCTCGTAGCGCCATCTGTAATAAAATGGTGAAACTACTAACAAATTTGTTTCAGGTTCTTGTCGCTAGATGATGCTAATATACTGTCATTTAACGTCCGTTTCAATAAAAAATTAAAAGTTTATTAAAAACTTCGTCAAGTAGCGATTACAACTTACTTTTGCTTAGCTTAATTTGTTTGTTTCCTGTAGCTCTGGTAATTCTGTAATCAATGTGTATCTTAAATGACCGCCAATACAAACTTGACATCGTTGGGAAATTTGTTTCCTGTTAGCCCAATTTCGTCCAATGCCTGTTATAAGTAGAGATGAATCGATATAAGTAAATACGAGTACATTAGTCCATACTTTCGTTTCGATATCGAGTAAGTATCGATACCTTCATGAAATAATAGTTATGAGTAAAAGTATCGATACCTTGGTGGTATCGATTGAACCCTAGTTATAAGGTTATGTACTCAGGAGGCTAGAGATTTAGTATAAAATCTGCTATAAACAACTAGCACGCAGATTGGCAGCTGGTTAACAGCAAGTCTTGGAACATAGCCTAGATTATAAATTGACTAGGTTAGTTAGCCTGGGCTGTGTTGCAAGACTTGCTGCTAGTCTTGCAAGAAACTTGTATGCAACTGATGGTTATCAGGATTAAATATTATAAAAATAAAAGTATTTCGAGAAAATATAAATCTAGTGAATACATTTTTAAAGTTGCGCCTATACATATATGTATAGTGATATTAGGTCACGTTAATTCTTTTCACTTCCTCTTTTTTCGTTTTTTGAGAAAATGTATAGTTCCATTTCCATTCGCAATTCTGCAACGGTGTAGGTATGTCTGCGCATGCGTCTTCAATGCTTATAGGCGTTGTGTGGTAGTCATACGGTCTTATACTCTATACTTTTGCGTTGTGAGTCGGCAAAAAGGGAAACCTTATACAACGGCTTTCAAAATATTTCGGTGTGTAAGATTTGTCCGGATCGCGATCCAATATCGAACAATGTCGAGTACAGACAAGCAACCGTTTCGCCGGCTACCTAAAGACGTTGTGCCATGTCACTATGAGATTGTTTTGACACCAAATCTTGAAACTTTTATCTTCGATGGAAAGGAGAATGTGCATGTAGACGTAAGCCCAATTAATCTTGTATATTAGATCACCTATTCGAACATTGATGATGTACGCATTAGTTAAAATCTGGAATATAATAAGTCTGGAATAATAATATAATAAGACAGTTGTATGAAAATTTTGATTTCATATCGCGCTTTATATTAATGTGTGTTTTTCAACATTATACTTTTCTAAGTTTCCACATTGTTAACCGTTGCCCAGGCGATGCCGGGTGAACATACGCCAGACTTTCTTCTCTGTATTTTCCAATCTAGCGATAATAAATATACTGTAAAATACGTGAAATGCATAATACATATTTACAAAATATATATTGTACACGAAAGTAATAGTTTATATGCACTATGTATATTAATAAAGTAATGAATTAAATACATATGTTTTTCAAATATAATCTAGTCTTTTATATATTCAGAATATATATGAGTATATAATAACATTGAGAACTATAAATATTTGGGATAAAGTATCTAATAAAAATTTTGATATGGCTCACAATTGACCCTCTACATTATTGTTGAATGATGAACTATTTGAGGGTGAATATAAGCTTTAATGTCTATAGGTAAAGAAATCCACGGACACCGTTGTTCTGAATTCAATAGACATTGATATAAAAAGTGTAGTTTTCAATGGTAATGATGGAAATGTCATTTCAACAAAGAACATTGACATCTCTGCATCTGAAGAAACAGCTACTTTCATATTTAATGAAAAGCTGCCAATTGGTAGGAGTGGACATCTAAAATTGGAGTTTGAGGGAGAAATTAATGATAAAATGAAGGGCTTGTACCGAAGCAAATACACTAGGTATTATAGTTTTTACATTATATAATTTGATTATTTTATGAAGAAAATGTATAATACAATATAAACTATACAACAGATGTAATTGTAAACTTTTACATGGAAAGTAAGTGCAGTGCTGCAACTTATTTATGTCCCATACATGCATGTACAGGTTTTCTTTGCTGGGATGAACTGTCGTTAAAAGATATTTTCTGCGTACAACTAGTGCGTTCTCATGACAACTCGCTTGTTGCCTTGTCAAATATGGTAAGCATTGATCGATATCGCTAAATTCACGAAACTTTTGTAACTTTTCAGACCTGATGGAAGTGTCAAATATGCAGCTGTAACTCAATTTGAGTCAACAGATGCTAGATGTTGCTTCCCATGCTGGGACGAACCAGCATGTAAAGCCACATTTGGTATTACTCTAAATGTACCATCAGGTCTTACAGCACTTTCCAATATGGTAAGCAGCGCCTAGCACTTTGTGTTATTTTTATTTACAAAAGTAGTTGTGCAATTTAAAATAACCATTCATTATCTGTTTCAGCCTGTTAAAAGTAAAGTAAGCAACGATTCAATAGACACTTTAGTATTCGAAAGAACACCGTTAATGTCGACATATTTGGTAGCAGTGGTTGTTGGGGAATTCGATTACATAGAAGACACATCTAGCGATGGTGTATTGGTACGAGTATACACACCGAAATCTAAGAAACAACAAGGACAATTTGCCTTAGAAACGGCAGTGAAAGTATTACCATACTACAAGACTTATTTTGGAATTGCATATCCTCTTCCAAAAATTGATCTCATCGCTATCGCTGATTTTTCGGCAGGAGCTATGGAAAATTGGGGTCTTGTTACATATCGTGAGACTTGTCTTTTAGTCGATCCACAGAACACGTCCTCTTTTCGAAAACAGTGGATCGCGTTGGTTGTGGCGCACGAATTGGCGCACCAGTGGTTTGGAAATCTCGTAACCATGAAATGGTGGACGCACCTGTGGTTGAACGAAGGATACGCGTCGTTCGTAGAATATTTATGCGTAGCATACTTGTTCCCAGAATACGACATTTGGACACAATTTCTTACAGACACGTACACCGGAGCGTTAGAATTAGATGCTCTGAAGAACAGCCATCCGATCGAGGTTCCGGTTTGCCATCCAGCCGAAATCGACGAAATTTTCGACGAAATTTCCTACAATAAAGGCGCATGCGTTATTCGTATGTTACACGATTACATCGGGGAATGTGATTTCCGTACGGGTATGAATTTATATCTAGAGAGGCACAGTTACGGGAATGCCGAAACGGGAGATCTTTGGGATGCTTTGGAAGAAGCGAGCAATAAAAATGTACGTCGTGTAATGTCAACGTGGACCGAGCAACAGGGTTTCCCAGTTGTCCAAGTACAATGTCGTCAAGAAGGCAATGACCGAATCTTGTCTCTGTCTCAAGAAAGATTTTTGGCCGATGGTGCAGAGGACCCTGAGAATAGTATATGGATGATACCGATCAGTATAAGCACGTCAAAAGATCCCACAGAATCTGTACTCACGGACCTATTGGATAAAAAGACAAAAGAGTTTAAAGTTACAGATGTACCTGAAGACAGTTGGGTGAAGATCAATCCTGGAACGATCGGTTTTTATAGGACTTACTACAGTCAAGATGCACTGTCATTGTTATTGCTCGCGGTTAAAGATCGCACATTACCTCCTGTAGATAGATTAGGTTTGCTGGATGATATGTTCGCCGTGGCACAAGCTGGGCGTGGTTCAACCGTGGAAGTACTCCGGTTGATGTCAGCGTTCCAACAAGAAGATAATTTTATCGTATGGTCTAGTATAGACAATGCCTTACGAAAAATCGCGTTGCTTCTTTCTCATTTAGATCTCCTAGACTGGTTCAATGCATTTGGGCGCAATTTAATGCACGACATAAGGGACAAATTGGGATGGGAAGCTAAGTCCGGTGAAAGTCATGGTGATACGCTTCTGAGGTCTCTGGTATTGGAACGTATGGCAATTTTAAACGACAAACATACTATCGAAGAAGCGAAAACACAATTCAAGTTACACGCATGTGGCAGTACACCCCTTCCTGCCGATTTACGTAGGTCTGTCTACCGAGCTGTTCTTTCTACTGGCAATAAGACATATTTCGATAATATGTTAAAGCTCTACCATGATACCGATTTACACGAAGAAAAGGACAGAATATTGAGGGCACTTGGCGCAATAAAAGATGAAACTCTGTTGGCAAGAGTTCTTGAGTTCTCCATGAGCGACAAGGTTCGAGCTCAGGACGCGGTATATGGAATCATGTCAGTTTCAATGACATACAAAGGTCGTCTTATGGCCTGGGAGTTCGTTAAGAAAAATTGGCAATCGCTCCGTGATCGTTATGGTGGCGGTTACCTCCTGTCCAGACTGGTTAAGGTTATCACTGAACACTTTGTCACCGAGGAACAGGCCAAAGATGTTGAAAAATTCTTCGAAGATCATCCGTGGTTCAGCAAAGTCTTGAGTCTATTAGATTGAACGTGGCATGGCTGGATAGGGATTTGGACTCTATTAAAGAATTCTTAACAACACAGAAGTATTAGAAGCATGAGTTCTTTCATGCGTTGCATTTTTACCACTAACTTGTTACAATATCTAATAAAGCAGAAAATGGAAGGGTCAGCGTTATCTCGATGCAGGTATTAATCAACTGTAACGCGCGAGCTCAGAAGAGGGAAGAAATGTTTTTATACTACACGATCATCGTCGTTTGATCTAGGTTTACATATAACGGTTCACTAAAACTGGTACAGTTGTTTACATACATTGGAAATTTTTTGGATATCGGTACGATATCGTTTCATAATAGTCGTATTTGTCGTCGATGGCATTTTAGAACTCAGCAATCATTTTTGGCATTTATTTTTTACATGTGATTTTATTCCCGAGTACGAGATTGCATATGTGCACCGGTGTTTGTCGCTCTTGTATCGTGTGTAAAGTGAAAACAGGGAAAATTAAACAAGCGTGCAGCTGTAGTACACACTTGTACTACATACCATAATCGAGAAGATTGAAATAAATACTTTTACGCTTGTACTGGAGGGAATATATTAAAACATCCTATCCATATTTAACGTACATAACTTGACCATGAAGACTGGGTGGTTGATCGGTTAAAACAGTGCTGTCCAATTTGGCTTTCGGGAGGGGCTCTTCGCACGTCTGCTTCTCCTTTCTATCTTTCTGTCGCGCCGTGTGTCTCTGACACTGAGATATATATATATATATACTCTGGATGCGAGATTGCCATAAGCTAGCTGCGGCTGGTTCCGAATTGATCGTGGCTATACATGCCAACACAACCATCGTTCGACCGATATATTAAGGGAAATATCGCGATGTTTAAAAAATTGAGTTTATAAGAGATTAAAATGATAGTTTAATATAGTAATATATTATTATATTATGCACATAATATAGTAGAATAATATAATACGAATTGCTTGTATGAAAGTTGAAATTCAGAAAAATTAAACACAAGTGAAATTCATGAAAATTGCGAAATAAATGTATGAATGTTATATGAAAGAAACTAAAGTAATGATTAATGAAGTGAATATAAAGTACAAAAAGTGAATAGTGAATTAAAAATATTTCTAAGCATCTTTGTAGTTTGCTTTATAGTTACACACGAGGAAGATGTAGGTATTTCTAGCATTAAATGAAATCAAATTGATAATAATATTAAAATACATTCATTAGTCATTTTCTAAACAATTGTTACATATGATGTAAACATTCCTTTTATATAAAATGAAATGTTACATTAATGTATGAAGTATAACATACAACTAAAATATTTTACGTACAATTATACAGAATTAATCACTGTTATTCTCCTAAGTAATAAAAATATCAAGTATAACGAATTTAAATATTTTATGTACAATTGAACAAATTAATACAACGTTTGTATTTACATGTAGTTTATAAGTAAATTATGAAAAATAGTAAAATTCTTAAATTTAACATTAATTTTGTTGCAACTTCTCTTGCATCTTTCAGTCATGATCATAGGAATCCACATACTGCTAGCTGAATAGAAAAGAAATGTATAAAATATTTTATAAATAATGTAGATGAGGATATAGTACATCGGTCGAACGATTGCGGCGCTTCATGTCAAAGCCACGATCAAATCGGAACACGGCAGGACACGGCTTCTCGCATCCAGTGTATATGTATATGTATATATCAGTTCTCTGGAGAGCACTGGGTTAAAACAATTTCCAATTTATTCATCTGGTTTACATAGGGTGTTTCATAATTTTTCGCCTTGTTTTAGATAACTTCATACCTTTTTTCACCTTTTTTTAGCTGAGTAAAACCAAAATTTAAATGTTTAATTCTTAAGTAATTAACAATTACAGAAATTTCTACTATCAACAGTTTAGAATATTGGACATTCAAGAATGAAATTTATTCCAATGTCATTCTAGAATTGTGTAATTTGTGGAAGAGAATCGGAAGAAGAGTAAACATAAATGAAATCTAACAGTAAAGTGATTTTTAAATTTATTCATGCAGTATGTTTGAACTCGGCAAATGAGATTTTTTGTATATAAGTTATCCCACTCTAATATTTTTCATACCATAAATCAGATTTGGAAATGAACAAAATTTTTAATTAATTTCAATACTACAATGTAGAAAAAGGATGAAATCGAATGAAACCAGTAAAATTTTTATACTTGAAATTTTCCACTAAATTTATAATTATTAAAAATTTGCACGAGCTACCTTAACCCTTCTGTAGGCAACCAAAATATTCACGGTTATTGAGCAATCTGAATACTCCCATTCGGACAGATTAGATAATTTTACTGTCATACTTTTCCGAAATTCTTAGTTTTTCCCTCCTATAATGTACCAAGTGTTGTTTTATACAAGAACACACAAAATTATGCAAGGAAATTTAGAAATAGGTACCTAGGCACCCGGTTGCCTACACAAGGGTTAAGCGTCATAACGCGAATATAAGACGACCGTCGTGTCTCACCGAAGGGATTCTTATCCCCCGATCGATCAGCCCTTTTAGCTTTCCGCGTAAGAAGGGAGGGTGGCGGTGGTGCTGCTGCGACACCGTGAGTCAGCCTCCGGTTTCGTTATTACTGTGTGTACACCCAGAACGAGGAACCAGGGCGGGCGGTGGTTGCGCGTCGAGTAGTTTCGCCACCCTCTGTCCTATTCTCTCTCGTCGTTCCCCATCCCCATTGCAGCAGCTCGTTATGAATACGAAGTGAACTCGAGTGGCCGAAGGGACGCAAAAGCCGCGGGGACACACACAGCCCGGTCGGACGGAATCAGTTCCCGTGGGTATCCCGTGAACCCGTGGTTCCCAGGAACGCGCACGCGACCCGGGATAGGGAACCACGATCAATACGAACTTTGCGAACTCCTACACCCTGCGACGATACATCGTCCGTCCGCCCCGTGGCCAGGCCCTCCTTCGTCGAGGACAACCACCGATAGAGAGAAAGAGAAAGAGAAAGAGAGAGAGAGAGAGAGACTCCTCCCTCGCACGTGTGCGTGGATTATTACGTACACGTGTGCCCATTTAACCCCACCCCTGGGACGCGGGATTTTACCTCGCCGGATATACGTGCACACACGTACACTACCGTCCATAAGTATTCTAATGGTATACTATCAATATTCGAATGTTATTATTTTGTCAAAAAAAAAAAAAAGAAATATAGTATGTGGCTGTTTACTGAATTTATTTAATAGTATCTTTTGATCAATTATACAGCAATATCGGGTTTCTTTTAGCGATAGTTTGTCTTTTAAACATTCGTCCGATATAAACTTATTTATGAGGTTCAAGGATCATGAGAATTAACTCTTAACCACTGTTATGCATCACTTGTACTGTGAATGGAACAATTATTACGTATTTACACCTGGAATCTAAGCTAAAGGGGAAGCATTTGAAGCATTTCCCTTAAAAGTGGACAAACACATCCTTGAAATATAAAATAAGGGGGTTTTGCCCAAAGGTCGTATCGAACATATGTTTTTATAAATATTGTAACACTGTAATATTTCCCACGTATCAGAAAACACCCTGTATATATTCGTTTCGAGGTGCTCGCGGATTTATCGGTTTCAGCGAAACAGGATGCGGGGAAACGACCTAACAAGAAACTGCCGATGGGGATCGTTATGGACGAGCCTGATCATAGAGAGAGCCGAAGGTCCTTTTTCGAATCGCTTTTTACCCGCCCCTGTATATCGTTCGCTAACGGAGACTCAGCTTTATGGGCGCAGTTTCGCGAGCGTAAAGAGGGATGTTCGTTGCCCCGTTTTTAGTCCCACGATTGTTGCCTCGCTGGGAATCATTAGAGGCTCGCTTGAATGACTTTATTGCTCGTCGAGGTTTACGGTGATTCTGGAGTTATGGTCTCTATGGCGGTGAGTTTCTTTACTTTTTTGACTCTTGGATGGTTCGATGCGATTTAGAATTGGAGTAGCAGAGCGTTAAAGAAAGTAGTGATGGGTTATGCGGTAGGTTTAGTGGAAATTTGGCGATTGTAGGAGTACTGAAGTGTATTTGATATATTTATTTTATAAATTAATGTATATGCTATCCTAGAATTTTAAAAACACTTCGTAGTTGTTTAATTATAAGATATTGTGAGAATTGAAACCATTAATATTATTCCAAATGAAACCACGATGAAACAGATAAGAATTTCAAATTTTGCCTGTTCTTTATGAAAATGAAATAATAGACAGTGGCATATTGTATGTATTCTTTACACAAGTCTGCGTGCTACATTTTTTAAGACACGTTTATGTGCACTTTAAAGTAACTTTATGTTTCGATCATTCTGTACAGCAGTACCGTGCACTTTTCTCCGCGAATAGAACGCACCTACAAGGAAGTGTACCTTGTCGAGCTACATTTTTACTTTCACTTTCCATCGAATCGTCAAACAAGCTAGGCCTTCGGAACTTGTCGACTAAAAATTACTTTCCACGCCTTTCAACTCCTGTGATGAAATTGTTCTCACTTTCTATGTAATACAGATTTCTAGACTCAAATAAGAGGGACCTGTATATATAAGAAAAGTTTTTGTATTCACATAGAACTTTTTTTAACGATACAATGTTATTATGTGTTTTCGTTTACATAATGACCTGGCCAAATAGATTGCTTGTATTTATGCAGACAGTACACTAGACTAGAAAAAGGAAAATTGAAAAATTCAAATTTTACAAGAAAAATATTTCTTTAAAACAACGTGAAAACACGTACCGTTTTCAGACCAGACTATTACGGAGCGCTCCAAATCGCGTGATAGTAGAGTCATAAGGTGGCAAGGGAAGGTTATCCTCTAATAAAGAATCATATACGCAGAAGTAATCGTGTGGACACAGTTTGCATTTATTTCACGTGTGCGCGAGTGTGACACGCCCGCGCGACAATATACTTACACTTTACAGCCTTTCAGTCTTCGCGAATATACAATAGTTACGGAGAGAGATCTCTAACTTATAATATGAAAAGCAATAACAATGATAATAACCAAGTAATAATAATATAATATTAATAATAATATAGTATCGACAATTGCCATTAATGTAATCAATAATCATGATACAAATAATCCTTTTTTATTATCTACAACGGGGGACTCTACATAATACAAGGGTCTCTGGTCAACGCGACGATAAAAACATTTCTCTTCCGCGCGAAATCTACGAGAAAGAATTACGATGGGGGATCCATTCACGACTGGTTGGGCGGAGCGAGTTTACTCCTACGCAACGTGGCTAATTTAATTTCAGATTCTGTCGTTTTACCTTAAGTGATCCGATTATTAACGGGAAATCAGACGAGAAAAATAGCATAACAAGTTTGCCAATCATGACGAGAAATTTCTTCGATCGAGAGGAACCATCGTTATTCATGCTCGACCAGTCGTCAACGATACACATTCCGAACTAGAAATAATACAGAATCCTGGTATTGCTCCAACACAAGAGAAAATTGATTCTCTCACAAGTAGAAATGGATCGGTTTGGTTCATTATCGAAAAAAAAAAACAAGAAACAAGCTTTCAATTCTCTCGTACAATTCGGGTAAGATTACACAAGGATCGAACAGAAAAACAGTGGATGTGATACAATGATAGGGTCGGTGCGAGGAATGCGGCGAGTTTATGTACAAGTATTTACACACATCTTTCCCCGAAGAAAGAAGTCCGGCTGGCCGCGAGAGTGGCCAGCGTTGTCGCGTGTCTTCGTTTTTCGAACGGTCCCCATTCGAGTCGGGGCACCCCACGAATCTTTTGGGGAATCCGTGCGCGCATCCGATAGCTCTGCGAGGACTCTGAGAGTTCCTTCTTCTAAAACTCTCGAAGTAGACACGAACAACAGTCCCGATCGACGTTAGAACCGGATAGAGGTCAGCTCGCAGCGACCTGAGCTTTTACTGGAGCTGGTAGGTCGAGCCAGGTCACCGTTCCGCTACCAGACCGGTCATCGTCGTCGTCGACGACGTCGTGGACGTCGCGGGCACGGTCGTCGCGGCATTCAGCAACGGTTGAAGGGGCTGCCTGGCCGTCGTCGTCGTCGTCGTCGTCTTCACGATACCACTACCGGGCTCGTTCGTCTCTTCCAATGTCGTCTGGAGATCGCAGATGTACTCGATCACCCTTTGGATCACCTCGAGCTTCGAGAGTTTTCGTTTCCTAGGCATGTCTGGGACCAGGGAGCGCAGTTTTGTCAAATAAGCCGCGACCTCCTCCGCCTCGAGATCACGTCGGGTCCCGTTGATCCCAAGACCGCTGTGCAGAACACCCCGGGTAGGTGGTACCCTACCTCCCACCGGACTCACCACCATTGCCTTCATATTCGTTTCTTGGCGTGCCTCACTCCGAAGAATTCCGTAAGGCTGTACACTAAACGGCGTGATAGTGTCCGATAAATGGAGGACAAAATGTTGGCAGCCGAGAAAATATATGGTCACGCACACCTTTCTCGAATTCGCGGTTTATCCAAATCGGCGGACGCGCGTTCAGACTGAACGGTATATACACACGCACCCCGTGTGTTTATCGATCGAACCCCGACCCGTCAAAGTGGCCGAGCCGCCGGAGAGACAAGAGTTCTCTCTCTCTCTCTCTCTCTCTCTCTTTCGGTCCGAATTGAACGGTCGTTCAATACTGTTTTTCCGCGCTGCTGCTGTATCTCCTCTGTCCACCGGCTGTGGTTTTCTTGTTACTTTCTTCCCTTTCTGTGCGCACGTCTGTTTTCACTCTCACACACACAAGCTGGTCCGTTATCGCGAGTCAGTGACACTCGCGAGGAACATTTTCCGATCGACTTTGTAATGTATTTTGCGAGGAATAGAGTGGGAGAGTGTTACGGGATGTAAAACGAGTGCGCCAAACAAACGAGAGCGCACGGTCTTTAATGCTCGACACGTTACGCTCGACGGATCGAAGTCAACTGGCCTCCGCCCCTCACCTGCGCAGTTTTATAGCCTTCCCCCACCACACGCCGGACTACCCCCGCGACGCCTCCGCGCTACTCGTACGGCGCAATCGCTGCCCGAATAGAATAGCGTTGGACTCGAATCGCTCGCGAAACGAATTGTTATCTGACCTATTTAATACGTATACAGTTTGGTAAATAATTATGTACGTCCATCTATGTTTTTTCTTTACCGAACAAATCCTCGACATGTGTGTACAACGATGACGGGATTTCAGATTATGTTGTTTTTGTGCTGGTGGATTTCGCCTGGGTTCGCTCTTGTGAACAAAACAGGGGTAATTCATTTGATAATCCATTATTTTGAAAAATGTATCACATTCGATTGAATCGACACGTTTCTCTGTCTTTTTAACGCGAGGCAGTTAAGTTTATCGTGTACTCTAAAAATTTTAACACGATTTTCTGTTTTGTTGAGACAGATTAAATTATATCTACAATTACACTTATCCGAAATTCATGAGCAGGGAAATATAATGATTTGTGTGAAACAATTATGTGGTTTAACAATTCGATATAGTCAGTATAATTTGAATATCATGATCTTGTGGGGATAATAAATACTAAAATACCTTTACATTCTTAAGAAACTTCACTTTCAGGTTACTACGTCCTCCGAACAGATTGATCAACTTTTTGTCTATTTCCAACTACAATAGATCTACATTGCCTACCAAATAATTAAATAAACAGCTGATTTATTAGAACATCATTAGATTTTTCGGTACACAGGACAACAAACAAAGCCCACTCGAAAATTCGAAAACACTCCTATGTTTATACAAAAAAAAAACGTTACGTCAAACTTTTCAAATCCCATCAAACATTCTTTATCGTGCCTTCCATCATATCGGATCCGAAGCTTTCGCCGCTCGAAGCACACCAAGAAAAGCATTCGCTATTAGTGCAAGCGTAATAATTCATAATGCATTAAGAGGTACGAATGTAAAACGCACGAACTTGTAAAATGATAATTTATTACCGCACACACTTCGTAACTCTCCCCAGGTCGACGAATCCAGAAAACAAACAAACAACAGTAAACAAGAATCCCCGCTGGGAATTACTAGCCAAGTTGAGGAATAATTTGCAGAAAGGCGCGACAGAGCGCCGCTAGGAATTCCAGACGCTCTATCCTGATCCTCTCTTCCCCACCACCCCTCTCCCACTTCACACAAGTCGTTGCAACTTGTTCCATCGAAATCGTTCAGGTCGTAGCCGACCGTAGTCGGGGGTGTTTGACGACCATGGGACCAGAGGCGTCGGCAGGACAAGCCGGGCGTGGAAGAGAAGGGCGACGCCGTGGCGAAGGGACAGCGGAGGGGGGTTGTGGCGGGAAGGTGGGGGCGGGGGGTATGCGTGAAAGGTTCTGGGCGCGGGTGGATGGAGAGAGAAGGGAGGCACGACCATTGTTGAACGTCCGGCGGCGCCAGCCACTAGCCATCACGGCTACTACCACCGAGACACCGTCACCACTACCACCATCAAACGGTCCGACACCACCGTCCTCGTGCGCGCCTATGGTTCACGGGCTCCTCTAGTCGGTGTCCTGGCACGATTCGAATAAATTTTTATTTCAACTGAAATAACGAATGAATAATTACGGTAGAGCCTCTTGTATCAGAACCAATCTATTGTGCCATCAAGTGTTCGGATAAAAGTATTTTCAAATAATAGAATAATCATTTTTCAGATATTGGATTTAATTCATTTATGTAGGGATCGAGAAAATTGAGGGTTTTGTATAAATATTTACGGATCGTATATCGTTTTTGTTGAATTACAGAAGATTTTTGACGCACCTAAGTAACTGGGTGGAATTCGATCGAGCAGAAGAACGTATACAGGGTGTTCGTTTGAAAACTTCGAATCTAAGTATTTCGAAAACAACGTATGATCGAATAAAATTTCATTCGTATAAGGAAATTTATTCACAACGCAAATGAACTATTTATTATTTGCGAATAATGAATACATGCATTTCACGTGTTTTTTTATTATTCGTCAAATCAGATTGAAATTTTCCGAACACTGAGCTCCAGCACCGTGCACCGCCAACCTGTACACCATGATTCCGGCTACGGTTTTCTATGTACAGTGACTCACAGAAGTATTCCGACCCTCTTGAATCGTTGGCTTCAAACAAGCATTTTTTACATACTTGATGCATTTTAAAATCCTTAGGGACCACCATCCAACAACCGACATATCCTGGACTTTATTGTCAACTATCTTCCTCGAATGTTCGGCACGGTACAAGATTTAATTGATTATCAGAAATCTCAAGATTTATACTTTCAATACCTAGTTTTTAGTTAAAAGTTCCAATTTCTGTCGAAAACAAAAGATTATATTTCCGGTAAGAAATCGTAAGACTGCCATAAGAGCTGTGTTGAAAACTCAATGTTTGAAAAGCATTTTCTTATTTATTTCATCGGTGACCTAGTCTCAAATTTTGTTTGTATGTGTATTTTGTTTTAACAAACAGTTTGTACGAATTTTATTTAATTATCTAGTCTTTCGAATTTGCACGGACCACCTTAATACGTGGTCACAGACTCCGCCTGGGACTCTAGCCTTCTTGACTTGTCTGCCTGCGCGCGTACAACGCTTCTTTTCCGTCTCTCACGCGCCCCTTAGGCCACCGTTTCTTCTAGCTCGGTTGCTCGTGACTCTCTGGTTACTCGGGAGTCTCGTTACCGGTCGGGACAAGAATCCCGCCCGATGTCCGGCGCTACACAGACAGAGAGAAAGCAGGGAGTTCCTTTATTATGCCACGCTGCGGGAACGAGCCCCCTGAGAGATCCCGACGAAATTGCGTACGGAACGGAGAGAGAATGAAACCGAGGTGGCAAACGATCCCTATTAGGTCGAGGCGGCACTGTGCTTATTCCGATATGGTTTGCAATGTCTTTCTAATCGGCACATAATTAATGAGCCTTCTGACTTCAGTGCTCATCGATAAGAAGCCCATTAACCCAGATATGGCTGAATTTGTTTCGCGATTTCATTCAAAATAATATTTCCCCTAATAGTGACTAACGCATAAAGAATCACGTTACCTTTGGCCACTGTGTATTTTTTTAATTAAACAATATTCAAGCTAATACATGTATGTTCTTTTGATGTGCTGCAACTCTTTAATTATGGGGACTATTAAAAAAACAAGTAATAGGTCATTTCATTTAAAAAAAAGTGGGGGTAGGTGCCTTCCCTCCCTCCCAGGAAATACCTCCCAAATTTGTTGTATTCGAAATGTTAGGCCCCTTGTACCGTTTAATTAAAATAACCTTGGTGCGATATCTGTAATAATTTCGGAGAACACAGCTTGTAACACTTTACATGGGACACTCTGTATATAGATAATCGAGTCGGTTTAAATTCCTTTTCTTCCTACTTCTAATCATAAAATGTGTCGTTACAAAATTCGATCGGTTAACATCGGGAGCAGCTCACGGACACAGGATCCGGTAACAACAGATCAAAAATCACGATTGGCACGACGAAGAAGGTGATACCGCGATAAATGGCCCCTGGTCGCGTAACATCGAGTGCGTTTGTCGGCGCGCGAGCAGGCAACGCAAGGGGATTCCATGGAAAATTACAGGGAATAAAATCGAACGAAACGCCCGTGAGACTCGGGCACTTGCACGGTTACATACCTGAGCAGCAACCGGATCTCATTGACTTCCCGACCTTCGGCTTTAAGAAATCGAGTTCCCTTGACCCGGGGAATAAATAAACTGACGAAACCGCCGTAGTTTGTGTGTGTGTGCCCCGGCAATATGTATCACCGGGGGCCCCCGATGCTTTATTTATACCTTCCCGGTATCACTGCTCTATTACAGGTAAGCCCGCGAGCATTAAGCGGTGTACATCGGTAATTGGAACTCCGATAGACAGAGAGACCTGTGTGGGTAGCCTTTATCTGTCATTACTCGGGGGTCGTAGATACCGGTTACCTCTTAACGACCCGTGGATACCTCTAAACTCCTTAATTCCGTTAATTAATTGTTAAATTGATCGTCCTCGGCTCGGTTTCTGTTTCAGTTTCTTTTTTTTCATCTATGCTCCGTGTTACCGTACGGTTCTCTAAAGTGTTAAGGCGTGTATCGGATTATCTAGTACGGCGTTGTAACCTTAATTGCCACGGGAAATGTTGAATATCCCGGGGTTATTCCGTGATAGTTACACGGGTTACGGGAAAAGTATTCGAACATCGGTAGATTCGTAATTGAAGTGAACATAAATTGCAGTGGTTAAACAGAGAATTATCATGTGTATTACGATACATAAAGAAGTAGCGATAGGCCATTTATTTTCTATCGTGCTAGCACAATAGTATTAGGTAGTCCTATAAGATATGCAACTTTTTTGCAAACTTGAATTTAAAACAATGAAATTCAACGTGATCGTCACTTATCTGCTTGTTGTAAGTAGGGGAAGGGGGATTTTTTGATTGTTTGGATGTGCTGAGGTCACCCGTGAAATATTTCCCACTTATACTCGAGCATTCTGCATACCCGTAGTGAAAGGGTTAAACATTTTCATCTACCTGTGAACGTAAATTATTATATTCAAACGTATTTTATGATAGATCGTAATAGGTACAAGATGAAGCATACGCCGCGTCACTGGTTCGAAGTTATGGCAACGCCGACGCTTGGTCGTTAATTACCGTTGAAAACGTTCATTTTCGGCCGAACATCGTGAGATAATTATTTTCGGGCACCTATTTTCAGCCATCACAGTTCCCCGCTTTGCTTCGGTAGCCATTACGAGTTTTCGGCTTATCTTACAGTGTTCGAAGTAATTATATCGGACAAAATATTTTTAAATCTTCCTTAACGAATGCATTTCTTTATTTTATCTTTAACTGCGTCATAATATTTATACTGGTGGATAAAATATAATTGTATAGATTTTTGGTGTTTGA